AGAATGAACCACATTTGATTGTATCGATATCGACCATATTATAATTAAATAATATGAATTGCTTCCATGTCAATTTGAACACCAGAGCAGTGCACTGGGGCTATGCATTTGGCGCAACTTGCAAGTTGTAGCTTTGGTGGTATTATAAGATATTTTAGGTATCCTCTCTAGAAGGAATAGTGAGTCAGACGTATACATGAAGATGATAATGTTCAGCATCAGCTTCTTCCAATTGTACAACAAAACTAGCTGTCCAATTGTATATTATTACTATGGGTTTTGTATCTATAATTTAACATGACCACAACAACTTTCCTACACACACAACATTTTGTGGGACCCACAATTTTTGAAACCAAAAAAAAAAAAAAAAACTCTGGCACGCAAAACGAATCTCTATAACATAACACAATCACTTTTCCTACAACATAACTCTTATTAAACCCTATTACTATTTGCCTTCAGCTGAGACACTGAATGCGCTTGATTTGACAGGACTTCTACTTGCCATAAAATTTATCACAAGTTTTTGTGTGCGTGTGTGTGGGGGATGTCATATAGAACACACAACACGCCAAATAGTTTTATACACTATTGGGCCGGTTTTCCATTAAAATTTGACAAAACAAAAAATATTTTGGAATCCAAAATCTTCAGAATATATCTCAATTAAATTTGAACAGTATACATTTGACAAAAGATAGATACATTTATATGTAATCCATGGTCATCAAACCCAAGAGAAAAACAGAGACATAAAATCCCAATGCGTTCAAAATCGTCATAGACAAAAAACAAAAACAAGACTTGAGTTACCTTAACATTCAAACGCTAGGGAATTTGTTACATGCCACACTCCAAAGAAGAGCCATACTCAAAAAGACAGGTCAGTGGGCGAGAGGACCCTTAGATTTATTAATAGATTTGAAGTTATCGTATTTTTAGATGTGAGATTGGTACATTGTCATCTAACGCCGACTTCCATGGCAACTTTACTCTATCGATATTGATTTGATAGTAGCTAATTTTTTTTTTTTTTTTTGACATTTTCACTTATTTATCATTATTCAGTATAACACTTTTTTTTTAGGTATGACACATTAATCTAACCTATAAATAGTTATTTTCGTGATCTCATCTCTCAATAAAAGTATCAATTATTACAAAATCTTGCCCCCAAAAGACCGATCAATGAGTGAGAGGACCTTAGGTTTTGTCGCCATCGAATCGCGACGTGACGGCATAAACTTGAAAGTTTAAAATCAATGGAGTCGCCACCGAGGTTTATTTGCGAAAACATTAGAAAAATCCTTTTGTTTGATAAAACTGGTCTTTACAAACATAATCGGATTCAGGAGTTGATTACGAGTAGGGAAAGTGTTAGCACCATACACCGTCTGTTTTAAAAAAAAATAGTTACCTTATATTAATTGTGCAAATTATTGATAAGATTTTAATATTTTATTTCACCCTAAAGAAATAAATTAAATTGATTAACGAAGAGATGGGTCTCGCTCCGACGTATCCCTCCTTACAGTAGGAAACTCAAAACTACGTCGTTCTGTAAAAAATGTTTGTGTTATTTGATTTTAATTTTTGAAATAATTCATTTAGGAGTTTTCAAATCATCAAATTGTCGTAGCTAAAATAATCCAAAATGATAATTGTAGGATTAACAAGTTGTCGCAACTTAGCTAATTTCTTTTTAAATTTAAAGAAAAAAAATTAAAAGAAAAAAAGATAAATAACCCTAGAGGTAAAACAAATTAATAATTAATAAAAAAAATTGTTACATATTAAAAACAAATTTAAATTAATATATTTAATTTAAATAAGTTTGGATTATCAAGCTCTCACAGCTAAATGACCCAAAAAGTTAACAAAGCATCACACCTAAATTAACCCCTAATATAATTTCTAAGCTATATAAGAAAACTTATAATAAAACACAAAAAACATAAGAAAATAGACAATTAATTATAAGAAAATTCCTAACAAATAAAGAACATAAAAACATACAAAGAAAATTATTAACTAAAGGAGAAGGTAAATAAAACACAAAAATTGGTGTATGGAGTCAAATTGTGGAGAATCACCCCAACTTTCCCTAAAAGGAAAAAAATAGAGAAAATTAGTAACTAATTTTTTTTAACTATGACACTAGCTTAGTTTTAAACCAAGCTCAAGGGTCTTGTATTTTGTGTTTTTTATTTGGTTCTCTACAAGAGTGTGTCCATTGAAGGAAAAGGAAGAGGCTCTTTATATAGAGGGAAGGGAGGAAGAAGGAATGAGAAATAGGTAATGCATGACTTCTTAGGAATATTGGGTTTTTTTTATTGTGGACAACCATTTTGCGACAATCATATCTCACACCATAGGGCTTAGCTCAGAAATTAGTCCAGTCAGATTGAAGTATCATATGGGAGGAACATGCTGACCAAATTTGAGGAAGATCAGACGATTCATTTGAGAAAAATGATACTTGTAATATGGCTGCCCGAAATTACATCTGTTCTAACAAAACTAAGAAACCATCTTTAGAAATTTATATCTGATGCTAGGAGGCTCAGTTCGAAAATCAATCCGGTTAGATTGAAGTATCATATGAGAGGAACACGCTGACCAAATCTAAGGACAATCAGATGGTTCATTTGAGAGAAAAGATCCTCACAAAAAAGCTGCCTGCAGTAAAAATCGCCCAGGAGACTTGTTTCGGTTTTGAATTTTCTGGAAATGGTACAGGCTTTCAATCAACAAATCCACCGTTGAATGTGATGAACAACGAGTCAAGATCTTACTAAAAAAATTTCGGCTTGATCGGACGGTGGATGAAGGAGATATCACAGCTGGAGCAAGACCTACTCATTTTCAATTTATGCTACAAATTTTTCAAAAAATACTTCTCTTTCCTTTCTTCCTTGCTTGATTCTTTTGGTTACAAACCACAAAATATAGGAGAAAAATAGGTGCTAACAGGTTTATTAATAAATTTAAAATTATTGTATCTTTAGTCTTTAGATGTAAAATTTGCAACCAAATTGAACGACATGGAGTTGTTTTTATGGGAGATGCTGCCAAATCGAGTAGTACCTATAAAAAGCTCAAATAATCAAAAAAAAGAAGGGAGCGCTGAATAATACATAGGTAAATTATTTTTTCAGTCATCGGAAGTAAAGTTATCTCCAGTGAGTTTAAAATGATATCGTTTTGGGACAGAAATCAAGATATTTTTGTAATTATAATATATTGCAGGGTTTATTAGTCTTTGTCATTATAATTTTTTAATATTATAACCCAAAATGACATCGTTTTGAGCTCACTGGAGATAATTTTATCTTCGGTGAATGAAGAAATACTTTTCTCATATTTTATATTTATATATATATATATATATATATATGGAATAGGATCCTTTGACATTGGTACAAATTGGTATTAAATCATATCCGTTTATATATATATGAGGTATGATCTTTTGACATTGATATCAAATTGATATTAAATCATATCTGTTTATTTCTGTCAATCAAAGGTTATCATTTATTGAAAATTAATATTAATTAATAAGTTTGATTTTCAATAAATGATAACTGTTTATTGACGAAAATTAATAATTAAGATTTGATGTCAAATTTTAAATTTTAATACTGATGTAAAAGAATAAGTAAATTGTTCCTGCCTCCATCTAATCAGGCTGCATACATCAGAATCCATCAAAGAACAAAAATAATAATAAAAAGAATAAATACCATTTTTGGTCCCTAACAAAAAATACGGTCTCCACTTTAGTTCTTTACAAAAAAAAAATTAGTTGGTTGGTCCCTATGAAATTCAAAGTGGAACCATTTTAGTCCTTTTGAGGAACTAATGTGGGTCTTTTTTGAATTTATGAAGGACCACGATTTCAACTAAATGGGTCAACTTTGAATTTGTTAGAGACCTCGAGACTAATTTTTTTAAGAGAAGTGAGGACCGTATTTTTTGTTAGGAACCAAAAATAATATTTACTTTTGTTCCGGGTTCATACACTGAGCCGTACTTGCTCGTAAGAGTATAGAACACGGAACCCGGATATATTTTACCCGGATAGGTGGTTGGGCATGTCAGTGAGTATTACACGTAGTGGAGTTAGCAGTTGATTGAGTCAGCCAGTATTACAAGTAATGGAGTTATAAAGGGGCCTACCACGATGCCATGATAGTACCCACCACTCCCATAATAAAGGTAACTCTTCAGAAGCTAGCCCCATATATACAATAAGGATAAAGGTAACAAGGGGATAACCAGAATATAGATCCATACTAATGTTCGTGCAAAACAACTTTAATAAAAAATGAAGAGTTCATTCAACAAAAAGTAATATGAATAATCAAGCTGTATACGTCGGGAGTCTCTGGATGGACATCAACTCAATGTGAGATTCCAATTATGTAACATGCCCTTCCTTAATTTAAGTTAAAGTACACTGAACAACGATAGTTAACCGTTAATGAGACAAGGCAAGCGGAAACCAAACTCTCATCCACCATGTGCAATTTTATCCAAATGTCTCTTGCAATCCTAACATCAATATATGGATTTGAGCCCCGAACTATCAAAAACTAAAATAAAATGTAGGAATGCGAATAACAATAAAAAAAATTACAACCTCCATAACACAACCATTGCATTATTAACTTTTTAATTACCGTAGTTAAAACCAAATCTGTAGGAAAACTAAAATACGGATAAAAACTATTGCCAAGGACCTAAATATGACAGCGATGTTTTAACTGAGAAGTGAGATCAATGCCGGAGGGAAACTGCAGCAGAATAGGAAATGGGATAAGCCAAAGCCAAACTCGTCCTGTGTCAGCACACGGAAACGCCCCATTGGATTGGATAAGATTTATACGTGGTTTTATTTGAAAAACACATGGAAACCACGGTTTATGTTCAGGGTGGGGTCCACACCCAACTCCGTCTCTCTCCCCAAGTTATATAAGAATCCTAGTTTCTATTCATTCCTCACATTCTATTCCAAAATCTCAACTTCATACAACGACAACGTTTTGTAACGTATCAACAAACATGCTCTCCTCAGTTTCCTTTCCTGCGTCTCTCTCAGCCACTAGCCTCACCGGCAACGCCGTGGCTTCACCGCCGTGCCGAGTGAGATCCCGGCCAATAGTCGCCTTCGCCACTGCCACTGCCACTGCCACCGCAACCGCCGATGCTCGTTCTACCTGGACGGAGCAACCGAGGCCTTCGTATCTGAACTCCTCGTGCTCTTCGCTCTACGATATTCTAGGCATCCCCGCCGGCGCCTCCAACCAGGAGATCAAGGCGGCGTATCGGCGTCTAGCCAGGCTCTGCCACCCGGACGTGGCGGCGATCGACCGGAAGAACACATCAGCTGACGATTTCATGAAGATCCACGCCGCGTACTCTACCCTGTCGGATCCAGACAAGCGCGCCAATTACGACCGCAGCCTCTTCCGGCGACAACGGCCGTTGTCGACGGCATCGATGTTTTCCGGCTATACGAGTCGGAACTGGGAAACGGACCAGTGCTGGTAGTGAGTCGACTCGTCAGCGTGGAAGCCCCTTGGCTTAATTAGAGTGTCTAGAAACGAGAGAAGGCGCAGTTATTGAAGCGTTCTTGCCTTGCCTATAATTAATCAATTACTAATTAGTTAGTTATCGGAGTTTGTATTATACTACGTATATGTACATATACACGTACGTAGATATAGAAACAGCTTGATCTTGAATTCTTGATGGTTCTTCATTACTAATTACAAATTAGGATTCTGCTGAGCTTTCCACTACAATACAGTAGAAGACTGCCATTTGCGTGGTATTGTTTCCTTATAATGTAACCTTTCTTCCATGATTCCATCAAATTTCATGGACCAACAAAAAGAAGAAGAAAAATTGACCATTTGTACATTTGCGTCCTTTTTATTTTATTTTTCTATCTATAAAAAAAAAAATATACAAGTAACAAACGAAAGCAAGAGCATAATTATATTCCTATAAAACTCACATTGAATATTTTAATTATTTATTTTTTGTAAAATTGTGTATAAATTTTTTATGAAAAAATATTAGAGGTGGGTGGTAATTTTAGATTTTCACCTCTCAGAAAATTTGTAGAAGTGGAAGGTTATAATTATTATTTTTTTTACTACCTCTTACTTTCAAATCTTAATCGTTGATTTTTGTTAATCTAACAGTTATAATTTATTAAAATTAATAATTAATTAATTAGTATGACCCAAAAAATTATAATAGTTAGATTGACGGAAATCAACGGTTAAAATTTAATAGTAAGAGATAGTGAGAAAAAGAGGTAATAACTGTAACTTCACCTTTATAAAAAATAAATATTTTTGTAAAATCACAGGTTAGTTTTATGGAGAAGATTATGGCTTACTACTTTTTTTTTTTTTTACTACTAAATCTTAACTGTTGATTTCTGTCAATCTAATAATTATAATTTATTGGGTCACACTTATTAATTAATTATTAATTTCTAATAAATTATAATCGTTAAATTGACGAAAATTAACAGTTAAGATTTGATAGTAAGAAGTAGTAAAAAAAAAAATAGTAAGTATAACCTCTCAGTAAGTTTATAATGTTGCATTTTGATTCTTTTGTGACATATCCGACATTTTTTTTCAAAAATTCATCAAATATTAATTTTATAAAATTAATCCATATTCTTAAAATATAATTAACCAAACATAAAATGAGAAATTTTGAATTAACCTTTTGGTAACATTATTCAAAAGTCGTGATTTCTTAAAAAGAAAAATAAAAAAATCATCTATCAAATGCAAGAGTATTCTTTTGTTTGTGGTGAGTGGTGACTGACGGAGATGATTGATGTTGACCGGTTTTGGGGCGAGTTAAGCGAATGCGCAAACAACGTTGATTGGCTTGCTTTAGAAATAAATTAGCTGGATGCATTCCCGAAATTTGGAAACTTTGGTTCTAATGAAATCAAGAGTCAACTACACTTGGCGTGTTCTTGAGGCTTCATAACGAAATTCTAGAAACTCAGTTTTCTAGAAGACAAAGGGTAATGTGCGGTTCTACCTTCGAATTTCCATTGATTATAACTTTTTTAGGAGGTTACATTTTCTCATGTAGTTTTTATAATTGTTTTTTTAGTTATTAGATCATAATTAAATTAACGGTTATAAAATAATATTAAATAAAAATTATTGATTTAATTTTAAAGTAATAACCATAAAATTGATTGTAAGATATTGTGTGAAACAAGAATATAACATTTCCCCCTATTTGATTTTTGTTTTTATATTCTTGTGAATTTACTTCTTTATTGAATGAGATCAATATTTCTTATATTAAAAGAGATAATTTTATCTTTTACATTTGGGAAAAAGAATTTTTATGTTGTAGGAGAGCTCTCTTCTCGTATTAGTGAGAATTCGTTTTGCGTGCAATAATTTTTTTGTTTTTTGTTTTTTATGTGTGGGTCCCACCATAAATTTGAGAGTGTAGGAAACTTTCCTCCTCTCCAATAGCATAAAAAAAAGCATTGCCCTTTACATTTATATGAAATGTGTGAGTCTTATGTGGAGCCATTAGAAGAGAAGAGGCACACAATGTCCACATTTTTATGAATATATAATTTTATCTCTTACAATATAAGAAAAATTAATCCATAATTTATATTTTTTAATATTCCAAGTTCCAAAATAGTTAGCCCTTAAAAGAAAAAAAAAATGGTAGATAAAAAAAAATAGTTCAATAAGTTTTTTTTTCTTTTTCTGATAGTTTCAATAAGTCTATTCTGCATAAATTTATCTAAGATTAATCTAATATGATACGCCACGTGGCATTTTCAGTTTATACTTTTCATTTTGAATAAGTGAAAATTGAACAATTAATATAATACAACCTATGTCAACCCTCGCTACTATACAAATCCTAATGATTTATTTTAAACACTGTCCTGAACAAAGCAAAATGTAAGAAACCAGAAATAATTAACCCCAATTGATGAACGGTCCACAACGTTTGTGGGGTCCATGCAGACAATGATATTGCACAATAGTTAAATCAACGGTTGGATCAAATGAAAATTAACCTATAATAGATTAAATATAATTTAAGTTAATAAATTATTGATCCATTTTGATTTTATACAAATTACGGAATATTTTATTGATTATTATTTTTTTCAATTTATTTATGACTATGAAAATATCAATATTATCTTAAAAAAAGAATAACAAAAAGTTATTTTTAAATAATATTTAGATGGGATAGATTATTCTATCTACTCTTATTCTGTTTATCCTTTTTTAACACCGTTAGATTACAATAACATATAACGGCGGATATTTGTGTAATAAACTAAACCTTTTCTTTCTTTCTTTATTCTCACGCCTTTTAACTTATCCCTATTTAGATATCTTTCGATTTGATAAATCGTGATGTCTAACCTAATGATAGGTAATGTTTTTATTGGATCTAGATGTCTTTTCTCAGATATCTATGAAGGAGATACATTTAAAAATAGGCAGGTCATAGTGCAACACTAGAACATATACGACATAGTGATTTGTCTATTTTCAAATGTATCTCCTCTATAAATATCTAAGGGAGGGCGTCTAGATCCAACAGAAACATTACCAATCATTAGGTTGGACATCCCAATTTATCATATCGGAACAAGATAAAATTTAAAAAATTGTTAATTATAATATTTTTAAATTTACCAATTAACCAAATTTATTATGTGCCAACCCCGTTTAAAGGTGGACCTTATTAAGATGGGGTAAAAAATTTATTTCAATTTTGTTCATCAACATGTATATTTTATCGTGTAATAAATAGGAATGGATCAACCTTTTTTCTTTCTCAATTGATTGAGCAACAATCCACAAAGGGACTGTTTACCCAACGATCATTAAATCAAGTAAGTGAGCTACTTATCCTTTAAACAAATAATTGTTGGGGGATAAACTCATTTCCACAAACACTCCCTTCAGTAAAATAAATAAATTATCGGAACTGTCTTTTTTGTGTGTGTGTGGTTTACGGGAACCCTTTTTTATGTGGTAACAATTTTTCATATCGCTTCGTACCATTCTGCATTTCTGGGAATATAAGTTGGGAAAAATGTTTATTCTTTTAAATGACATAATTTATATCTTTTCACTTTCATAAAGAGGTGAGGCTCACACTTTTATTTTTTTTATCAACTCTCTCCTCCATTATTTATCTCTTTCTTTCTCTTAAAATGACACAATTTTACATCATTTAAAATGATACTTACTTTTTCTATATAAGTTATAGAAAAAGTTAAAAAGCACATGTAATTAAAAACAAATCAACGGTTATGAAACGAAATGAAAAGAACTTTATTTTATTCATCGTGGAAGTGACTTTTCAGAAGCCTTGAAAGCTAATTTCGTTATTGTTTGCCTATCCTTCTAGAAGAAGATATTTAGCAAGCTCATGATGCTGCGTTTTGTGGCCCTCTTAGGAGAAATAAAAAATAATAGCATTATTTATTCGACGTGATGAACCCGAGGACGTTTGTTTGATAAAATATATTCGAATAAACACAATCACGTATGAGAGAGAATATAATTAACCTTCTAGATGTTTGGAGGCCCACTGGACAAAAGGACAAATAGAGAACGCATAATAAAATTCAGACTAAAATTGAAAGTATGAGAATTATGTAAGGATATATATACAAAGGAAAAGGAAAAGTGTTTGTCATTTTAAATGACATAAAGTTATGTTATTTTAAGAAAAAGATAGATATAGAATAAATTTTTTGTCATGATTTTTATTTTTTCTCTCTCATGATTTTCATTTTCTGTCTATCTCTCTCCTAAAATGACATAACTTATGTCATTTAAAATGACAAACAACAAATCTATATACAAAATATGTATCAATATTTATTAATATCATTACAGTTATTCACTTTCAAAATCCAATTATAAATGGGGCAGATTATATTTACAAATTTTTTTTTACAAACTCTCACAAATTACACTATCTTTTTTCAGAAGCCAGGAAAAGATGATGTAATTTGAAAAAATTTGTCAAAAAATTTTATAAACGAATCATTCCCCCATTATAAATACAGCAAGAGGTTATTTGTTTCAATAATCAAGTAACACTTTACTAGCATCAAGTACTTCGAGCATATCAATTGAGACTAAAATTTTGGAAACGTAATGAATAATTTGATTGTAAGATTAGGTCTTTTCCCCTTGATAGAGTCAAATATGTAAATGTAACAATTAATGCTTAAAGAGGCAATAGTATAAACTAAAATTTTATAATGAGAGTCACAATAAATATCTTACATGGAGGCTGAGAGAAGGGGATGGTGTTAAGGGCACAGTGGTTCTGTATTTTGAAAAAGTAACAGCTTATAAATAAGTATATTTAAGGTTCCGCTTAAATGGCTAAAGATGAAGAATTTATTGGTAAAAAATATTTCCTATTCATAAATCATAAATGAGTAAGCGTCGTAACTATTTTGCCTAATGAACCCCATTGTGTATGTGAGGTGTGAGATAGGCTGATGTAGGGGCATGAGATCAACTACGAATAAAAGTAATGACCTTGAATGAGCCTTGGTGGCCGTTCATAAAACTTAGTTATAAATATTTGTTTTAAAATATTTGATATTATAAAAAGCATATAGTTAATTCAGGCAAAAATTTTAAAAATATATACTAAAATTAAAATTTATTAAGAAAGTATATACAATTAAAAACAAATTAGTTTTATATTAAAAAATTAACAACGGTATGTTTTATTTTTCATAAGAGATTAAACTATAGGATACTCTAATTTATATTTTAATGTAGAGCGATTAAAAATTGAGAGAAAAAGATTAGTTTTTGGATTTGGTTTTTGTCCTTTAAA